TAGAACTTTTTCATCTTGACAAATTGAAGTGCTATTCCACTAATAAACAAATTTTATTCTCCACTCCCTCCAGTCCTTGGCCACCACCATCTACTTTCTTTCTGTAAGTGTTCAACCACCCTAGATCTCATATTCATGGAATCATATAGTATTTGTCCTTTTTGTTTTGTGATTCATTTATTTCAACAAGCATGATGTCCTGCAGGTTTGTCCATGTGGTAGCATGTGACCAGATTTCCTTCTATCCAAGGCTGAATATTCTTTATATATATATACCAACTTTTGGCAATTATGGATAATACTTGATGAACAGGCATGCAAATATTTCTCGAGGGTCTTAATTTTATTTATTTTGAATATATTCAGAAGTGGGATTATAGAATCATATGGTAATTCTACTTTTTACTTCTTTTCAGAAACTTCCAATACTGTACTCCAAAAAGTCTGCAACATTTTACATCATCATCAACATTATACATGAATTCAAATTCTTACCAACACTTGTTATTTTGTTTTCCGTTTTTAATAGTAACTGTCCTAATAGTTGTGAGATGATATATTATTGTGGTTTTGATTTGCATTTCTCTGACGATTAGTGATATTGAATATCTTTTCATGTGCTTGTTGCTTATCTGTGTAACTGCTTTGTAGAAATAACTATTCATATATTTTGGCCATATTTTAATAAGATTATTTGAGGGATTGGACTACTGTTGAGTTATAAGAGTTGTTTTTTGTATTCTGGATATGACCCATTATCAGATATGTGGCTTAAATATATTTTCTCTCATTCTCTAAGTTAGTCTTTTACTGTATTATTTTCTTTTCTGAACAAAGATTTTTTTTAAGTTCAATATAATTCATTTGTCTTATCTTTTATTTCGTATATTCTTGGTGTCATTGTCAAGTAATTGTCAAATCCAATGTCATGAACCTTTTTTTCCCTTTTTATTTTATTTATTTATTAATTTATTTATTGTGTGTGTGTGTGTATGTGTGTGTGTGTGGGGGGGGTTATTATTTTTAAGTTTTACATTTTGGCCTTTATCTTAGTACTGCTTTTGCTGCACCTCTTAAGCTTGGTATGTTGTAGTTTTACCTTCATTTGTAGCAAGGCATTTTTTGATATCTGTGATTTCTTTATCAACACATTACTTGTGTTAACTTTCATATATTTGCAAAATATCCTATTTTCTTTTTGCTGTTGATTTCTAGTGTTGTTCTACTGTATTTAGAAAATATACTTGTTATAATTTCAGTCATCTTCAGTTTAATAAGACTATTTTATGGGTGATATACTCTGGAGAATATTCAGTGTGTCCTTGAGAAGAAACTGTATTCTGCTGTCATTGTATGTAGGTATGTTAGGTCCTTCTACAGTGCTACTCATGGCCCATTTTCTTTTTTAATCTTCTGTTTAATTGATCTATACTTTATTGAAAGAGTTGAAATCTAGGATTATTATTTATTTCTCACTTTGTTTTGTCAGTGTTTACTTCATATATTTGTGTGCTTATACATTTAGATTGGCACATCTTACTGGAAAATTGATCATTTTATCATAACATTTTTTTTTTATCTTTTGTGACAGTTTTTGACCTAAGTTCTATTATGACTAAGTATAGCCCAATCCTACTCTTTCAGTTACCATTTACATGAAATATTTTTTAAATCCTTCACTTTATGTATTTTGGTATAGTTAAAGTAAGTCTCTTATAGTCAGCTGCTTTGAAATTTTAATCATTTATTAATTCTCTTTGATATATGGTTTGTGTGCCCTAAACATCTTAAGATTGCAAAGACTATGCAGAATCAGTTGAATCTCCTTTGAATGGATGACTTTACACATTTTTAAATGTTTTAGATATCAAGTAGCACAAATCTCAAGGACAGGAAAGAATTTTATTACTTTATTCATGAAATCCATTTGGCTATAAGATCTGCTTTCCTAGCTATGAATATAAACGCATACGCAGCCAGGACGCATTAGTAGATCACAAAGCCTGACATGGCACATCAGAAGCCAGATATTCACTTATGCAAATTATAATAAATTGATGGAATAAATTGAAGAAATTTTGTACAGTATACACTTTTTTTAAAAAGGGGGAGCCACTGCATAATATAAATTCTTATTTTACTTGTATTAATTATTTGCATACCATGATATTAGCATTACATATTAAGCCAACATGGTAAAAACTTCGATATTTTGTTCAGAATGTGTTTGTATTTAATAAAACATTCAAACATGTTTTGAGCACTAAAATATGCCCAGCATAAGGCAAATGTCTACATAAATGTAGACACCATTCTCACCATTCACAAGAGTTTACCCTTGTGGAAAGAGACATGTATAGAACCAATGGATGCTGTGATAGAATTTGGTATGAGTTACTGTGGTGTGGCAAAAGGTAAGGGGTACCCATGCAAATTAGATAAGTACGCCTGAATGCATAAATTGATTGTCATGTATACTTTCCCAATTAAATTCTAACTAATTACAACACACCTAGCAAAACCATGACATATACTAGGGACCTTCTCCAACAGGCCAGTTATTGAATAACTGATGAACCTGACCCCAAATAGTAATCTACATAGGGCTCCCCACTGCTCAGTACCAAAACTCCCCATATTCCCAGAACACACAAAGAAGTTCATAAGTATCTTAACATAATTGCAAATTCTTAAATAGAATACACGTGCTTACATTTTCCAGTAATTTATCCATTTATGTAACTTGAAAAATAATACAAATACCTTTTTACTATAAAATTACCTAACATTAATTAAAATTGGCAGTCACTGGGTTTCATTTATAGCAAAAGGAAAAAAAGATTTTAAACAGAACCAGAGTAAGGGGGCAGATTGAATTTGAGTGGTGTGTCAATATTTTAGTTTTATATAACCGAACAAGAATTCAAACATATTCAGGCTAACCTGAATAAAGAATTAGCATCTGTGTGTTCAGTGCCTGATTTTTTTCTTTGGGAGAAACCTGCAAAATTTTTCTGGTGGTAACACAGACATTCCCAGAACTCTATGCTATAGACACCTTGTCATTCTCCAAGAGGCCTGTCAACTCTGCTAATACGATCAGTCACCCAGGATGGCCTTCCAGCTTTGTTAATTCCATTTATTTCCATCCGATTTCCTGATTAATTTTACTCACAGACAAGATAATTTGGCAAAAGTAACTTGATGTTTAGAGCTTAGTGTTATATCTTTCTCAACATAGCTTAGTGTTATATTTTTCTCAACATAGCTTACCTGACTGATTTAACATTAAATGAAACAAAGGACAACTAACTGACTGTCTGTTTGCAACCACTTGCATTCCAAGAAAAGCAAAATATATTCATGACTTATGGATTTTTCCCTGTTTACTATTTGGTACATACCTTCTTGTGTATGAATTTGTTATTTGACTAAATATATGAGAAACTGAGTTAAAAATGTTGTTCCACTCCAAGTATGCTTCCAGTTCCTCTACTACTAAATACAGTAAATTCCAAATTGTGGAATAGTTCAGCATAATTTTCTAGAAAGTTATATCTTGTGTCAAATATGAGCCCATTAGAGGAAACATCATCATAATGAATGTGAGGTTCAATATAACTCTACCACATTAAAACTACAGTACTTTGATAATATGACTGTTTTTAAAAAGTGGGTTTTGTAAGTTTAAACATACTTTTATCATAAGACCAAACAATTCCACTCCCAGAATTTACCCAAGACACATGAAAATAAATGTCCACACAGAGTTTGTATGGCAATTATTCATAATAGCCATACAGGTCTATTCATAAAAGTTAAAAACCAAAATAGCCCAAAGTTCACTTATTTAATTGATAAATATATAAATAAATGGTGGTACATCTATTTCACGGAATATTACTTAGCCATAAAAAAGAACCAAAAAGTATGAATCTCAAAAATATTATGCTGAGTTGAACTAAGTCAAAAACAGTGTAGTATATGATTCTATTGAAATGAAATGCTAGAAAGGGTCAATTCATAATGACAGCCTGTCCATGGTTTCTGGGATCATGGAGAGGAGGGGACCAAGTCAAAGGAGATCAAGGAAATTATTTAGTGCAAGGAATTGGTTATCTGTTTTGATTGTGGGGGTGTTTACATGCTACTAATCTCCCCAAATAGTATCTGTCCTTTGAAAGAGCAGATGATTATTTCACATCTTCAAAGAGGGATGAATATACTTAATTTTTGTGTGTGTGTGTATAAAAGTACAATCAAGTTTTTCAATCTTTAAATAATGGGTGATCTATAGCATTTTATAAATTTTAAATGGAAATTTTTAAGAACTAGGAAAATTTGGTTCAGTTATGTTATTCCATATAAAATCAATTTAATTTTTTTTGTGTGTGTGAATGAACTGCACTTGGTATGGTATTTCAAAAAAACATGTATGTTTCTTTGAGGACACTGAGATTAAGCAGCAGCCTGTAAATATTTGCTGAAATGAATGGGAGTGAGAATTTGCAACAACACTTATTTAAAGGCTGCTTGCTCTCACGTTGTTCCAAATTCCAAATTTTCATCTTAATGCATTTTGGGAGAATCCAAAAACTGCCAAGACGGCACTTTGAAAGAAGAGAATTTGGTCTCCTGAAGAATAAAACTGCTAGATCCTCCTTGAGATAATGAATTCTGTTCATTCAAAGATTGCCTGAAGGTGTGAGTTCACAGTCCATTGCTCTTCTGGGTGAATCAGGTTTAAGTAATTGGAAGCTTGTCAGTAGTGATGTTTTTTCACCTTTTCTGTATCTAAAATGGTAAAATGGTTCTTTTTCCCCAAATTTTCTAGGTTCAGATAGAGTTCGTTTATAACAGTAAATTGACTGTCTTTCCATGAATAACCTCATATCTATGTTTCAACTTAGGATGTATTTAATGTCATCCCAACAGGTATTGAGTAGTATGAATTACAGTTTTCATCCTTTCTTCTTTTAATCATAATTATTCTGTTTCAGAAATTATACTGTTGTTAATTCCAAAATCATCGTGGTCACAATAAGGCCTGAACCCAAAACAACTGACTCGTTTCTGGAGATAGAGCTAGCTCATTTGGCTAATGTAAGTACTATCTACTTGGCATTCAGTTGCTTTCAGAATTACCCTTTAAAGAAGATCAACAATAATTCCTTGAACCAATAGTGTCAGAACACGTTTTTTAAGCTTTTATAGTTGGAAATGTATTCATTTGTTATGATCACATATAAACAGGACACTATATTGTTCTATGTTTTTGTTCCTGATAAAGCACTCTTCAATTTATCCAAGATAATAGTTAATAAATTAGTTTTCTGTGCATACATCTTTAGCGAACTCTATGCTAGACTTGGGGAATAAGATGTGAACAAAAGCTTAGTTCACTGTGTGATAGGAAACACTGGCACATAAATTCATGGATTTGAATTTCATGCAGCAACAGAACTTATAAAATTAGCACAAAGGAGATCAGTTGACTTGGGAATGTGGAGTGAGTCGGGCAGCAGGTTTCAACATTTAAGTCCAGCTTTGGGGAAGGGGCTTTATAACTTCCCGAGTGCTCCACTGGTCTAAATTTCAATCTTCCATCATCCCAGAATGACAAGCACCTTTCCTTAAGTCCATTCAACTGCAACTGAAATGCTTTAAATCGTGCTCAGTTCTATATTGAAATTAATTTTTTTTATCATTTATACATTCACTTTAAATACTTAAATGATTAATGGGTAAGGACAAGGAAGGTAATTCTTATCAAGAATTATCTCCTCATAATACTTTCATACTTCCTGTATTAAAGTTGTCCAATCTTATCTTGTATGCATATGTATTTTTATTATTTCTTGAAATGTTTTTATCAAGTTGACTTTAATATTAAAAAAGAAGCAAAAAGTGATTAAGCCATTTCCCCAAGTTTATATAATTAGAGAATGACATAATAGAATTCATACTCACATCCTTTGGGCTACAAAACTTGTGTAATTTCTGCCATTGTATAATTTCTGATTTCCTCAAGAAATTAGCCTTAGTTTCATAGAAAATGATAATCATCTTCCCCATGAACTGCTTTTTGCTAAGCTGCCTCAGGCTTCCTAGACTGTTTAATGAAAACTGCAAATCTTTCCTCAATAACTTTCAAATATCACAATTAATATTTGAAAAATTAGGTCTTTTGCTACTTTTGCCAAAATGTGACCATACTGGTTGTTTCTAATCTCAAGAATGTTTTATTTCTTTAATATCTACTTCCTCATACCTTCCTATAGCTCTAATCTCATTACTGTCCTAAAAATTGGGAGACGCATTTGAACATTTGAACATGTGCTTTTGAATAAGGAGCGTATTTGTGTGTTCAAGATTGTCTATGAAAATGTCTATCACTTTGCTTGTTTTTATTGTCATGAAATGTCTCTACAGTTACAAGAATTGGTGCAAAATAGTAAGAGATATTTAGTTTCCTATGAAAATTATAGAATTACAAAATTAAAGTAATACAGTGTCAGAACATAGGCCTTGTTCTTTATGCAGAAAACATTTCTATAAATGAATATTTGTAGGACTTTCCTAAATAAAGATGAAAACATTATTTAAAATTTGAAACCATGTTAGAGGAAAATTGTTTGAATTTTATATAACTTGAAAAATAGTAACCTCAAAAATAGTATTGATGCAATAGTTTCTACTTTAATTCAAGAAAACTATTTGTAAAGAATACTTTTAAACTTGGACTCAAACTTTTATCTTTTGGTAATATATTTTGACAGCCAATTTATAACAGAGGTAAACCATGTACTAAAAATTATTTTTCAAATATGGGAAACAAATGTACAATCAACAGATTTTATTAAGCACCAACTAGACACTGGAGTGGAATGAAAGTCAGCATATAAGAAGGAAGAGATAATGATCATAAGGCACTTCGGATGAATTCTGTCTTAATATTTTAAGTAAGTGAATTGATCAGCCACCAAAAGAATATTCTCTCCACTCTAAAAGACCCAGATTTTTTAAAAAATATATAGACAAATACCTTACAAAACAGAATGAGGAAACAAGAAGAAGAAAAAAAGTTTCTGCTGGAGAAAGAAAAAATGAAAGTGCTCTTACTTCAGTTCCCCCTCACCTGCAGTGCTGCTCCACACCTGTGCTCAGAGGCCACTGCAACTCCAGCCACACAAGGAGCTTTGCTGGGATCTCCTGGATTTTAAATGCACTGCACCACCTGTACAGCATAGACAGTTCTTTATGCTTTACCATTTTAATTTCTAATGATAATTTCATCTGCAATTATATTCTCAACCAAATTAGATTTTCAAAAACACTGTATTGTTCACTGAAGTAAGGGATATGGGACTGACTCTTTCGGACATCTTAATATTTATTACCAGTCTTAAAAAGATATTTTCTATATACTAATATTCGTTTGATTTCATTGAAGTGGTCACTAAAAAAGCCTACAATGAAAGATAACAATCTTAGCTAAAACATGAGGATTGAAATTGATGGAAACAAGCTCAATTTTTATCCATATTCATTGCCTTTGTAATTGGATATGATGTGTCTCTAATAATAAATATGTCTACTTTCACTTATTTTCTTATAATACAATTATTTTCCATACTTTTCTGAGCTTAGGAAAAAATAACAGCTTGCAAACTACATCTGTTTCATAGGATTTTCTATGTGGAGAAAAGGAAAAGTGGGAATTAAAAGTTATAGTGAGTCTAGGGGAAAACCTGTTAACATTTTCTAAATGAAATGTGTTTGTTTCTAAAAAGCTTTTTATCAAATAGATTTTATAGTATGTTAAATATAATAAGGCCCCTGGGAAATGGTAGGAATAAGAAATATATAGAACCCTGCATTTCCAAATTGCAGTTAGCAAAGCTAGTTGCAGTTTTAACCTGGTTTTAAGTCATTAATGAGTAAGACACTCTTCTTAGATCAGGTTCTCAGTCTTATGTCTTCATTGTCATGTCCATATAGTCTCTGGATTTCTGATACTTCAGGCTTAGTCATAGCAATCGTTTGCTTTTAAGAAATATTAAATTTATTAAATATTAAATCTACAACACATATGGAAAGTTAATAATTTTTTGAACATAGTTATTGAGAACTAAGTATAATAGGAAAGCTCTGCATGTACACACACACACACATACACACACACACACACTCTGAGGATGCCCTGTGTCTGACAAGTCTGGACCTACTGTGTCTTTCCAGAATGGATAACATCCTCATGTTTAAAGATGAGCTAAAATAATAGAAAATAAATAAATTTTAGTTATCTTCTGCTTTATCACCTTTGCAAGTCTGAAAATGCATTATTTTTTTCTAATAAATGTTCTTCTGCATAGTTCCATTTTGAGTGGAAAGATGGAGTAGACTATGCTGGCCTGTAGTCTAAACTTGCCCTTTTTAAAAAAAAAATTCCCCCTCTGTGAAGCAACTCTAATGGGCTAAGTAGGGTGTTACTCCTGTTTTTCAGGGTTGAGGAAAAACCTATCAGATTTATTTGTATTTCTCAAACTGATCATGTGCACAAAAAAAAAAAAAAAAAAAAAAAAATCTCATGGGAATTTTGCACTTGTGAGTTTTGTTTTCTTTGTCTTATTTGCTTACATACTAACAGGATCAAACTAACCAATTAAGAAATTTGACTTATGTATGTGAACTAAAATTAATCATGATCCAAAGCCTGTGTAAATCATGGAGGAAAACAGAGTGGAGAGTGTATTTCTTGCTACTATTAGAGAAGCATGAGAAATGATATGAAGAAATCCAACCATTCATCAGGAAGTGTGTTTATGAACATCAAATTCTAAAAGCTTAAAGAATTAAAAATCACTTGGCAACTGGAAAGTATTTTGTCCTGAGTTTTATTAGTAGCACTTTAGAAACTTGATCACAAGTTTGTAAAGTGGTGGTGGACTATTAGGGGAAATTGGAAAACATCATGCAATAGCATTGCCTAGGCAGCCAAAAGAAGGCCTGTGCAGAAGGAGGTGCTGGATGTCTTGCAGAACCCTGATATCTGCACATATGTTGTGCTCCTGAAAAACCTTAGTGAAACTTCTCTTCAGTCAGCATGTAGACATTAGGAGTGAAAATCACCCTTGCCTGCCTTAGTATCTGCTATAAACTCATATGATTATTATTAGGACACATTATTAAACTTGAATATAAAGGGAAAGACCTAACTGGTATGCTACGTGGAATCTAGGGATTTGGTGTTAATTAATTAAAGCTATGCGCTACTTCAAATCATAGGAAATACTCAGACAGTTTTTTAAAAAGGCGTTTTTTTTTTTTTGTTTTTGTTTTTGTTTTTTTGCTGAAAGATGCACTAGACCCTGTGTAACAATTGTAAGAAATGATGCAAGCATATAGGGATAACCCTTTCTAAGACATCAATGTTGAAGCAATGATTCTTTTTGAAGGATACACATTTTTAAAAGCTCCTTATTATGGTTATACATTTTACTGCTTCTAACATGACAAACAGTATTCATTAGGTAATAATGAACAATCAGGCTAATGACAGGTCTCAGAAATTAGAGAAGCAAGCTGTTACCACATCCATAAAAATGGTGTCATCTGGTTAATGTGGTCTACTGAGTAACTGGATAGTAGAAGCTGAATTAACTATATGCTCTCTCCTCATGGTCCCATTAAATAGCCACCATCTTCCTAAGAAGAGTATTGTGACATGGGTATGACTCCTCCAGATAAAACAATATTCTGCATTTCTCTTTTCAATCGTTTTTAGATCATTGTCCTATAGCTAAATCAAGCTCTTTATTTTCCATAACCTTGGTTTAACTGGCTTGTAATGTGATGCTTCCTATAGAATCCTCACAAGTCCATTCAAATACTCTATGCTTCCAAACTCCTAATAAGTAAGAATACATTATTACATCATCAATGAGGCCCATTTGACTTCAGATACAAGACAACTACCACCCCCAAAATAAAATAATAATAATAATAATAATAATAATAATAATATATAGAAAGAGTAAGACCTAGACTTAGCTCTTTTTAAGATTCATTGAAAATATTAAACCACCAACCTGGGAATGTGG